CGCCAGTGTGCAGGGGCTCGGCCTTGGGGGGACGGTGCCCCAGCTCCTTCACTGGCCTGTGCGCACAGGGCAGGCCTCCCCGCAGCTGCCTGTGGCCGGCGGGTGGAGGGGGCCTGGGATGCTCAGCCAGGGGAGGACGGCTCGGAACCCCGCACTCCCTGGACGGCTCTCTGGGAGGAGCGGACCGCAGGCTCCCATCCGCCGGGGTCTCCAGACAGCACAGACCCCTTTCCCTCGATGAGGGGTTGACCTGGTAGGACGTGACGGGACTGGAGCGCGGAGACCTCCCTTGTGCGTTTCTCTCTGGGAATGGCAGGTGGCGACCCGGAGGCCTGCTCTGGGGGGTAACAGTTGGGGACACAGGGCGGGGCTCCCTGAAATAGCGTCCCTTGGGGGGAGGGGAGGTGTCAGGTGATGCTTGGGAGACACCCAGCTCCTACTCACAGCCCCGCATCCCCGCGTCTTGGCAGGCAGTGGTCTTGCCGATCCCACCCGTCCCCAGGGTCTCAGCTCTCCGCTTGCTTTCCCTGGCCCTGGAGGCCTCGCCGTGAACCCTCCCAGCTCCCTCCTGAGGGCGGGGCCTGTGCCCTTGTCCTTGGTGCTAGTCCCCTTCCCGCGGCCTTCGCGCGCCCTCTGGAGGCCAAGGTGCGAGTAGCACCCTGCTGCAGGCTGAGTGGCCCTGGCTGGTCCGCGGCGAGGCAGAGGCGGTAGACAGTGGGCGAGGCTGCTCCCAAAGTCCCGGACACTCAGTCCATCCTCTCCCCCGGGCCCGGCTGACAGTAAAGGACGGTCCGAGGTGCAGGGAACATACTGGCGGGGAGACCCACGGAGATAAAGGGGGGGGGGCCCTGAAGAGGGTAGAGCCCTCTGGCTGCAAAGCAGGACCCAGCCCCTGCAGGAAGGGAGGGCAGAAGCCAGGGGTGGGGCGGGGTGAACTTGGGGCTTCAGAGCAGCGGGGTGGCGTGGCCAGGGACCCGGGGATCTGGGCAGGCATCCTTCCTCTCAGCACTGGCGGGAAGGGGCGGGGGGCGGGGGGAGGTGTTGTAAATCCCCCTGTAGGGGAAGGGATGATGGAAGTTTTACAAGGGCTTTGTGGTAACAACGTTTAATGTGCCGCCTGCCCCGTGCCCTTAAGGGTCTGGCAATGCTGGGGAGTCCCCCTGAGACCCCCACGCGCGATCCTGCCTCCGTCTGGGCCTCTGGACTCAGTTCTGCCTGAAGGGTGGGTGGGGCTCAGGCTGTGGGTGGGGCCTCGCTGGGTCAGAGGAAAAACCCTGTAAGAAATGAATTTTTTTAGTATGAACAACATATGTAAATTGTTACTCGGTATTTTTCTGTTTTAGCTTTTGAACACGGCATTTCTTTATTTTTAGGAAAAGCGGAAGGGGGAGAGAGAGAGGGAGAGAAACATCAGCTTGTGGTTGCCTCTTGGGTGCCCTCTACTGGGGACCCAGCACACAGCTAAGGCCTGTGCCCTGACTGGGAATCGAACCAGCAACTCTTCGGTGGGTAGGCCAGCGCCCAGTTCACTGAGCCACACCAGCCAGGGCTGTTACTCTGTATTTTTCTACCCTACCCCGGGCACCTCATCCCCACTCTCTCCTGTATTTAAAGACAAATCGGGAGCCACGGAGCCGATCTCACTGTCCACGGTCCTGAAAGCAGCACAGGAGCCCCCAGTCCAGGACTTTGATCCCCGGACTGACTTCTTAGGGCTCCCTGCCGCGACTGGAAGGGCTTCCACTGCAGGAACAGCCCCAAGTGGCAGACGGGAGTTGCATGCTGATGCACGAGTGGTCTGGGCCATGGAGGGAGGATCTGACCACCCCCACCCGGGCCCTCTCCCCTGTGAGGAGTGGGGGGTGGCCCCATGGGTCTCCACAGCCCCATGTGGGGGTCTGCGACAGACACCCGCCCCTAGGACCCTCCTGTGTTCTCCAAGCTGCCCCTGAGCTGAGGGGAAGTGTCACACGAGTGGGCCTGCACACGCGTGCACAGGAGCGTGAGGGGCAGCCGGGAGGCAGGCTGCCCCCGCGTGCCTGTCAGGCTCTTCCCCTCCCTCAGGAGCCCCTGCATCCATCGGGGAACCACCTGCGGCCTTAACCACCCTCAGGCCCAGGTGGGGCCACAACCAGGGGCCAGCTGCACACTGACAGACACTGGTCAAATTCCAGGTGTCTGTGAGCTGTGGGGTGTCTCAGGCAAAGAGCCAGCGTGGGCAGGGGTGGGGCAGGCCCTTTGGATGGACACGCAGGCCGGGCACTCACATGGGGTAAGGCAGAGGGGGCAGAGACAGGCCAGGTGAGCTGGGACAGGAGTCCTGGGTGGGGAGCACACCTTTGCTGAGGGAGTGAGTGGGTGTGAGAGAGACTGAATGAGTGACTGAGAGAGTGAGAGTGAGTGAGTGACTGAGAGAGAGTGAATGAGTGAGTGACCGAGTGAGAGAGAGAGAGTGAGTGACTGAGTGACTGAGAGAGAGAGAGTGAGTGCAGGGAGGAACATCCCTCACCCCTCCCTCCCCCCTCCCTCCTCCCTTCAGAAAGGCTGTCACTGTGAGGTTCCCCTCTGCCCCTTTGGGACACATTTCAGCCTTTTCTACAGGTGGGTTCCCTGGGCACTGCTTGTGTCCAGTGGCGCTGCCAGGGCCCCGCCCTGGAGGCTGGTGGAGTTCTGCGGGGGCCCCAGGGTGCTGCAGGTGGCCCCCTGGTGGCTGCCCATCATGGGGACCTCCTGGGCCCTGGCCTGGGAGGCCCTCAGCTGCTTTAGTGCCAACTCAATAACACAGTGGGCGAGTGGAGAGGTTTTCTGGGTTGGCAGGAGATCTTCTTTTTTCCTTCCCTTCCTTTTAGACAGAGGGGAAGGGACCGGGAAAGGAACAGAGAGAAACATCCTGTGTGGTTGACCCTCTGGCACCCGGTACTGGGGACCTGGCCCACCACCCAGGCGTGTGCCCTGACTGGGAGTCCAACAGGCAACACCTTGATGCACAGGACGGTGCTCACTCCACCGAGCCACACCGGCCAGGGTGCAGGTTGGGGCCTCAGTTATATTTCTCCCCAGAGCAGTTTGCCTCTGGGTGTGACGCCCTCACAGAGGTCATGGTCAAGGACATGGACACAGCTCTCACTGCAGCCCCTGGGGTCCCGGACCTGGGAGCACCCTGTTCCCTCCCCGTCGTGGCAGGGTCCCCTGCTGTGTCACAGTGGAGTCCCTGCGGCACTCTCCCTTCCCCAGTGTGTGGAGGTCCTCAGTGACCGAGGTCTGGTCACAGGGGGGGACAGCAGGGTTTTCAGCAGCCACCCCCGACCTCCCCTGGCCGCCCCTGCACTCTCAGAAGTGCTGGGCAACCCCTCAGGAAGGGGAGGGCCCTGGGGGAGGGAGCTGGGGGTGGGCAGGACCCCATGACTGGGGGTTGGAATCTGCTTTCTTTTCCAGTAATTGTTCTCCCTTCCTGGAAGACTTCTGTCCTCATCCTTGGGGCCTCTCCCTGTGGACAGGCGGGGAAGGGGGGGCTCCCTGCCCCAGGTGCCCTTGCTCCAGGGGGACTGCAGTCACCCCACCCCACTCACCCCAGCCCCATGTCCTGTTCCCTGCGGAATCACAGGTGCCCCCCCCCCCCGCCACGTCTCGAGCTGCTGCCGACAGGACCCACCCAGGGAGGGACCCAGGGTGTGGGTCTGGGAAGAGGATCCTGGGGAACTCCAGGGTGGGGCCCACAGGGTGCCAGCCCTGGCTGTTCCCTTGGTGCCATGTCCCCAACCCCGCACACCCACAGCACCCACACACTGCCCATCCCCCACTCGGCACACACCTCACAGAGAGTGGGCACGCCACACACACCACACACCACACACATGCGTCCACCCCCACACCTGCACGGCTCTACCCCAGACCCCCTGTGCGCCTCCCTCCAGGTGGGACCTGCAGCGGGGCCATGGGGGGAGGGTGTCACCTTCCCATTGCAGGGAAAAGGGAGCAGGGTGCGGGGCTGAGGGACTCCTGCCTCCCCCCTCCCCGCTGTGGGGCAGGGCCAGCAGGACAGACACTGAATGCAGGACAGAGGAGGAAGGCCTGTGCCCACAGGCTCCCCAAGTGCCTGAGGGCCCTGCCCGGGTGTGTGCTGTGGGGGACCCTCAGGTGAGGTTTGTGTGGGGACAAAGCCCCGGCAGGAAGGAGGGGGTTCCCTCCGGGATGCTGGAGCTTCCAGATCTCCTGGCCCCAGAGGTGCCGTCCCACGGGGCACATCCCCGCCCCCGGCCCTGCACCTCTTCACAGCTGCCCCAAAGCCTGGGGGGAGGAGCGGTCCCCAGTGTTAGGGGTGGGGCTAGGTCTCCCTTTTAGCTCAGGTGGGAGAGGTCCCTGGTCCACACTTGCTCCTCCGAGGAAGCCTGAGCTGGGACTTGGGGTCACATCCCAGCTTCCAACCGAGGGGTGAGGGCCGCACCCCAGGGTGGGAGCTGGTCCCCTGTCCAAGCCTCAGTTTCCCAACCTGACGGTCTCCGTGGGGGCCCTAGACCCGCACCCAGGACGTCCTCAGCCCCAGGGTGTCAGGGAGTGGAGGGAGACTTCTCCCCTGGGAAAACGTGGTGGGGGGGGCCCTGGGGAGAGGTGAAGCGCTGCCACCCCGCCCGTGGTGGGGGCAAGGGCTCGCGGGTGCAGGTGCGCAGAGGGGAAGACGGAGCAACGACGACCCGGGGGAGGAACGGACCTCTCGGCCTGTGGAGGGTGTCCCATCCCAGCCCTCCAGGCCCAGGGGCCCAGGACAGCAGCCACCCCCAGGGCCAGGGGCTGCAGGGCAGGGAGCCGGCCTGGAGGCGGTGCTGCAGGGAAGGTGTGGGGGCCTCCCCTCGGGCTGCAGAGAGGGCGCCCCCGGGCACGGCCCCTCCTAGCCCGCCAGGCCCTCGGGGTTGTTCCCTGAGATGGGGCGGGAGCCAGCCTCCCGTGGAAGTGGGTGTGGGGCCCCCACGGCCCCGGCGGCATGAGTGGCACACGCACAGCAGGCCGGTGCTGCCAAGTTTATTATCTGTTTGCGGGGGGCACACTGGGGAACTGCAGGAGGGGCTGTGGGGCGACTCTCCCAGGGGCCCCTGCCCAGCAGGTGGCCCCTGCCTCTTGGGGCAGAGGTGAACGGACGGTGCTGGCAAAGCAGACAGGCTTGTGGGCACAGCCGGGTCCGTGCAGGGGGCGGCCGCCCTTTCTCCGGGCCCCTGCACTGGGAGGAGGGCAGCTCAGCCCTTTGGCCGAGGACTCCCAGGTCTGAGTGGGCCAGTGTGGGTGGGACAGCCAGCTTGCCGTGGGGCCCCCGTGGGTGCTGCGTGGACACGGCTGCCCTCACCCTTTTCTGTGCCCAAGGCAGGTCCTCACAGCAGGGACCAGAGCATGGCTGGCCCCAGACTGAGCAGGAGCCCCCCAGCGAGGGCCCAGAGGCTGCGCCCTGCCCGGGACACCCCGTTACAGAGGTCCTTCTCACAGCAAGACATGTCCTGCACTTCAGACTTGGGGAGCAGTGGACCCAGGGGCTGTAATGTGTTGTGCCCTGCACCTGGCTGTGGGCCTGACACACGTAGTGCCTCAGTCTCTTTGGAAACCGCCTCACAGGAAGGGGCACAACCCCCAGTCTTCATGCTGACCTTCCGTCCTGCAGGAGGGAAAAAAGTGCCTGCTGTGGGAGCTTCTAGTCCCTCTGTCCCTGTGAGGGTGGCCATGGTCACCAGCTTCCCTTGGTCGTCCCTCCATGAGCTGGGAGCCCCCTCCCCTCCCCAGGAGGCCTCTGCAGGCTGCTCAGTGCAGAGGGCAGGGAGGCAGGGACAGGCAGCAGCCCCAGGTGACACGGACCTGGCCCCTGACACACCCACACCCCTTCCATGAGGCCCCCTGAACCCAGCCCCACGCTCTGGGCACAGGGAACTCACCATCTGGCCAGGTGGTGATCACGTCGCCCTTAAAGCAGACGTTCTGTCCCTGTCCACAGGTCATAACCAGGCACTGTGCGGCCGTCTGGGCCCCAGCACAGAGGTAGCACTGTAGGCTCAGGGCTGGGGAGGGGTGGGGACACAGGCCAGGCTCAGAGGACAGGAAGGCTGGCTTTAGACCCCCGCCGACCACAACCACCACCCGAACTGGAACCCGTGCTCTGGACAGCCGCCTCCAGGCCCCTGCCCAGGACCTGGGGAGCCCACCCTCTGGGTTGGGAGCACAGACCCCTCAGGGCCCAGGAATTGGGGAGTGAGGACCCACCCCGACTCCCAGGACAGGTCCGGCCAGCACTGGCACTCACCGCGGTCTGAGCACAGCAGCACCGCCAGCAGGACCAGATGGAGGCCTCTCATGCTTCCTGGATGCTGTGCCACGAGAGGGGTGCCTGCGGGGGGTCCCAGGTTCAGGTTCAGGCCTCCCCTCCCCAGCCCTGGCCCTGCCTGGCTGACCCCTGGCTCACCTTCCCTGCCTCCTCCCACCTGCACTGGCCGAGTGCTCACTGCTGGCCTCAGCCTCCTTCAGCGTCGCAGCATGTGCTCCCACCTCCCTGCTGGCGCTCATATATCCACCACCCACTTCCGGCCTCCGCCTGCCCCCCTCAAGCCTTTGGGCCCCACCCATGGAAATCTTAGTTAGGTGTGTTTATTTCTGAAGTTCAGGAGCCCCAGGGGCCTGGCAACTGGCTACACCACAAGCTCCCCGCTGCAGCTTAACCCCTGGAGGTAATCCTACACCAAAGCCAGTGTCAGCCAGCCCAGTCCAGGGCGGGGGTGGGGGGGGGTGGGGGGGGGGTGGGGGGGTGGAGCCGGCCAGGGTGGAGTTGGGGCAGGGGTGACTGATGGGTGCTTGTGGGATTCTCAGGAGGAAGTGGGTGTTCCTCCAGCCTGTCTCGGTGGCCCGGGTCTGCCTCCTGTGGGCCTTGTGGTGACCCACCTCCCTTCCCTTGTCCCGGCCCCAGTCCCTGTCCCCAGGTCTGTCCGGGGTCCTCCCTGGGCTCCCCAGGACGGGCCTCCACAGAAAGCACAGAGGCAGAAAACATCTCACACGCTAACACGTGTTTGTCCGTGGGTTTCACTGCCCCCGGGAACCATGCACATCACGGAATCCATCCTCCGTGGGTCTCGAGCACGTGTGGGTGGAAACCAGGGTTTTCAGTCTCACACGCCCAGCCCCCATCAGGGCGGGTGGTCCGACCCCGGTGAGTGGGGCAGCAGCGGGGGGCCGGGTGCGGACGGCCACCGGGGGGAGCGCACCAGGTGTCCAGCACCCGGGTGAGAGCACCCGTGAGGCACGACCCCGGCTGCAGCCCCGGCCCTTGCAGACCCCCGTGGCCTCAGCTGGGCCCCAGCGGCAGGCCCGGAGAAGCAGCACGGTCGGGCGGAGGGGGGCATGGCTGCCTGGGGCCAAACCCTCGCCAGCCTAATGACAACACCAATCAGTCAGCACCAAGCAGCAGCAGTAATACCACACACGAGAATGGGGGGTGACCCACCCCAGGCCCAGAGTCTCAGTCTGTGGGCCCGGGGACAGGGCTGGGCAGGGGAGCCGACACAGACCTACAAGGCAGAGGCCCCACAGCCAGGCAGCACCCGGGCAGAGGGGCCCGGGGCCAGTGGGCCGACCTCCGGGGGCGGGGCCGTCAGGACTCCAGCACCGTGTGGGGTCGCTCCCTGGGGCTGGAGCTCAGCCGTCTCGGGGGAGGTCTGGGGCCTGCCTCAGTAGTGCCTGGGAGGGGGTGGGCTCCTCCCTCTGGGTCTCCTCACAGGTTCCCTCCACCCCTGGCTGCAAGTGGGAAACCTCCCCAGGAGCCCATGGGCAGGTGGCCCTGCTCTGCAGACCTGGCTGTTGGGGTCCCACGTGCACAGGTCCAGAGTGCGTCTCCTTGCCAGATGTGACCCACTCCCCAGTCCTTCCTCCGCTTTGTTCTCCCGCAAGTGTGGGACCACCTGCTGTGCAGGTCCCCCCTCCTTGCCCCCTCCCCTGTGCACCCGCCGCCCCTCCCCGCCTCTCCCCCCAGTCTGTGGACTGGGTCTGCTTCCACTCCTCGGGTGTCGGACTTCCAACAGTGCGGGTTTCTGGCAGTCCTGGTTGTTTCTGTTTTCCAATTGGTTGTCGTCCTTGTTTTGGTTGTGCGAGGACATGAAAGGTTTCTGCCTAGGCCTCCACCTGGGCTGCGAGTCCAGGGGGCAGCACTCTCTAGATTGACCGGTTTATTTCATAATTTCCAGAAACAGTTCTCTCTCCCCTGGCAAGGACACACACATTTTTATTCTTGGTGACCGCTACACTTTCTGTAGTGTGCTGGTAAGGGAGCCGCTCAGGACGCGCTGCCCTCCACAGCTTTGGGGCTGGAGCAGGGGCAGGGAGTCAGCAGGCTGGCCCAGCGGACCCCTGAAGTTCAGAATGTCCCCTTTCCCCTTCCCCTTTGGTTCCTGGGTTTCACTGCATGAGAGGGAACTGGGGTCCTTTCTCCCCTTAAACCACCTTTTCCATCCCTTCCCAGTAGGATCCTTAGGCTGTAACAACAGGGAGAGTTTGCACAGGAAAAATCTCATCGTGTTTACTAGAACGTGACCTTCAGCAAAACAGTTCAATGTGGAGACCCGCCATTCCTTTCAAAACAGACACAGAAACACAACTTAAGGCAAAGACAAAGTTCAAAGAGACGAACAGTCTCAAACTCAGTCCTCTTCAAGGAGGGACTGGAACATCAGCCTTAGATTCTGTAATTTTTCACTTTTACTTATATTTTAGAGAGAGGGGAAAGGAGGGGGAAGGAGAGAGACATGGATGTGGGAGAGGTACACCCACACACTGCCTCTCACTCTCCTGGAGTGGGGGCCGGGCCCACCACCCAGGCATGTGTTTTGGCTGGGAATCGAACCCGTGACCTCTGAGCTGGCAGGCCAGCACTCAGTCCACTGAGGCAGAGCTGCCAGGGGAAAGCCTTAGAATCTTACCTCACACCAACTAGTACCGCCAACGACCCTGACGAAGTCCAAATGGCACGGCCCAAGTGGCAGAGACAGAAGATTCCCGGTGGATTCGAAACAGCAAAGAGCAGATCAAGTCTCTGAAAGGTGAGAAAACCGCCAAAGAATAACTGAAACCCAGACACACAGAGGAGAGCTCCTGAAACGAAACTGACTTCCTCAGGGGAGAAAGGGAAAGTGAAACTGGGTGTCCTGGCTGGTGAGTCAGTGGGTTGAGCAACAGACTGCCTCAGTGGTGCCTGGGAGGGGGTGGGCTTCTCCCTCAGGGTCTCCTACAGGTGCCCTGTCCCCCAGTCAGGGGTCATGCCAGGGTCATGTGCCGTGTGCCAGGTCGGGGGGGGGGGGGGGCGTGGGCAAGGCCCCTGATGGAGGTTCTGTGTCACATGGATGTTTATCTCCTTCTCTGTCTGCCCTCCCCCCCCCCCCCCAAGAGTCCCCTGCACATGTCTCTGAGCAAGAAGATCCCAAATAAAAAGCACGACCTTTAAGCTTGGAGTCCGTCCCCATCCACTGCCCAGACTGGAGCCCATCGACTCCCCGGAGACCCGTTTCCTGCACCAACAAAGGGTTTCCAGGAGGCTCATGCCTCAGCAGGAGAGCAGGGAGAGCCCCCAGATGAAGAACTGGGCAATTCCCGAGACCCCTGCAGTGGGGCGGAGGCAGGAGACAGCACAGGGTTCACCCTGAGACTGCCCTGCTGTGCAGACCAGCATCCAGCATCCTGGGGCCAGGAAAGCCTTCCAGCACCGAGGGGGAGGGAACAGTGAACCCAGGGAGGGAGTGAGGGAGACCTGTCCCTCCCTCTGACTCCGCCTTCCAGAGCCTGGTGCCCTGGGGCTGACAGGTGCTCCAGCCTCACCCGAAACACGAGCTCAGCCTGGGGGAGGGAGCCTGGAATCTCTGGGCATCGTCCCCCTTATCTGGGGAGGAAACCTTTGAAAGTGCTCTGTCCCCAGGCCTGGAGGGCAGGACAGGGCCCATCGTGCCCAGAGGAAGAGGCCCATGAAGCAGTTGTGGTTACCTGCCCACCTCTGCTCACTGTCTGCTCTGCGAGGGAGTCCCTCGTGCCTAAAGACAGAGCCCAGAAGCAACTCCGGGTAGCTGCCCCAACTCTGATTAACTGCCTCCTGTCACAGGCCTGTTTTACAACAAGGTGAACACACAGAGTCTGGACAAGATGAGGATCCGGGCTGACAGACCCCCCACCTGCACATAAGCTTGATCATCACATCCCCCCTGGCTCAGGGAAAGCTGGCACCCTGTCTACCTGCCACCCAACATGAACCCCTTTAACTCCCACCCCACCCTGTCTACACATCCTCAGGGCAAAGGGCTCGCAGCTTTGGGCCCCTTGGCTCTCTGGCCTCTGGCCCCCTGGGGGCTGAGCACGCTGGCCTTCAGCGGCCCTTCCTTGTGCCACCCTGCTTTGCCCTGAATGTGTGCCCCTCACTGCCCCCACCTCAGTGAGGCTGGTTCTGCTCCCTGGGAACAGATCAGGAATTATCCCCGATTGCTTGTTAACAGACGTGCTGATGTGCCCTTCTTTACGTGTGTCGGCAAGGCCCTCAGGGCCTTCCTGGGAGTGCACACGGTTCCGACTGGAGTCGCCACAAAGCAGAACCCGAAGCAGATCCAGAGGCCCGCCACCATGAGAGCCGGTTCTCCAGAGGAAGGTGCTGATGTGAAGGAAGTGGTTTAGTTGCAGGTGCTGGCCACCTGGAAGACGGGGGACTGACATCTCAGAGGTCATCCCCACCTCTCATGGGGGCAGCAGTTTTATAAGGAGGACGCGGGGAACAGAAGGAAGAGATGGAGGGAGGGGTTGAAAGCTTCTCCACAGGCAGGTGAGCACAGTGCATTCTGAGAAGGCCTGTAATGATCTGGAGTGTGTCACCCCGGCCTCCATGGGGGAAGGTTAGCAAATCTCCTGGAGCCGAAGTGCTTCAAGATCAGAGCTGATGCCTTTTGAGCCATTAGTTCCTCAGATTGTTATGCAAACAGGCCGTGCATGTACAAGCTGCATAGTGGTGAGAGCCGGCACTCACAGCTACAATGTCAGAAGAATGGTGGGGCGGGTTACAACTTCCCAGCATGACAACCTTCACTGTTTCAAACCCCCACTGTCAATTCTCCTTCCTTTTCTGTGAAAGTTAGATGTTGTAGCCCAAATATTTCCAAAAGTTAGGAGAATGAACATTGAATCTCATTCTTAAGGGAAAAACAAAGTTTTACAGTCAAGTCACAAAATTCGAGTCTCATGTCCATATCTGTGTGTCTCGGACCTCGGCTGAGGGGGTCCATGGCATTGTAGCTGATACAAAAGAATTTCACAGGGACTGCCGAGTCCTGTGGAGAAAAAGGGTGGGCGGCTTTTCTCTCAAGAGGAGCCCCAAGCCTCAGCCCTTGCTTTGATGAGCTTTTATTCTTTCTGGGCACATTGCAGGAAGGACCTCATTTACTGTGCACTGGCTCACTTTAGGTGGTTCCCTTTTACACAAAACAAAGGAGAGGATGCTGCTAATCACATCACAGAAAGGGGATATTTGCAAATGAAAAGGCAAAAGTGGTTCAACAGGTTACACTGGTTCTTGGAAGGTTTAGCTTGGGTTTTAGGGAGTTGCTTTGCAGTAAATGTTTGGTGCCTCAATTCAGGGTGAGGGAGTTTTAGCAAAAGCAAGTCTCATAGCAGTCTAGGT